TGTTACAAAAATGTAATTATGGCAGATAAAAAACACACCTGATGAACGATTGTTTGTGCTGCGGGACCCCAGACCAGAAAATACTATAGAAGAATGGGAAATCAAAACATTTTAAATTAGGTTTTAGGATCATAAAAATAAATAGTTGTATAATGCAATGACACTGAATAAGAAAATACAAATCTCACATTTAAGAATTCCTGCTTTCTGGCGGTTGGCTGGAAAAAATATGAAGAAGCAAGTGTTAAGGAAGAAGGCAGCACAACTACAGTACAATTTTTGTTATGCTCACACTGAACAGAAAAATGTTTGCCACTTACAGTCTCCCAAAGTGAACAGTGTTGTGTCATTGACTGGGAAAGAACAGACAATAAGCTGAAAAATGAAAGACATGAAAAGAAAAGAAGGTCCGTGAATATGACAGTACTTTGGTAACACACCTTGTTTGGTGATCTTGCCCAGCTCCTGGTTGCAAAGGTCCTCCACCCGCTCCCTCAGGTCCAGGATGGTGTTTTTTACAGGCTCAAAGGAAGCGTCTGGATTGACAACTAGAGGGGGCAGGTCCCCAGACTCAAGAGGACTGCACATGAACTCATATGTCTGAAATTAAAAGTAGTGGTTTTGGATTTTAGAGAAAATGCATAGCTTACAGTAGACTGTAAATTGTAACTCTGTATCTTGTTGTGTTATGTGTCAACAGACCCACAAAGTATGAGAAAAGCCAATATCACGTGTCCCTCTGTGATAATCTCCCTGGCCCAGCCTACCTGCAGGTAGTGGATGTGGTCCTCACAGCGGATCAGGTCCTTCATCTCCACGTCCCTCCTCTTCAGCTCCTTGATCTCGGCCTCCAAGCTATTAACCACTTCCTGGGCCTGGCCCATCTTCTCCTGACTGGTCTGATCCAATGTCTCTTCCAGCAGCTCCTGCAGACGCTCCAATGAGTGCTGCAGCTCCGACAACACCTGCTCTATATCGTCGTGCACCCTGTCTGAAGAGCGCTGGGCATGCAAAGAATAAGAAAAAGTGAAAATTATTCAGTTATCTTGTCATTCCAAAGTTGGTGCAAGTTAACCAATAGAAAGGTAAAACTCATGACTAACCTGCACCCCCTCCATCATCTTCTTCATGTCTTTCAACTCCTGCTCTCTGTCTTTCAGTCTCTGCTGATTTGCTGCCTGCATGTCTGACAGCACTTTCTACAGAGAGGTACACAAAGACAGAGAGGTACACAAAGACATAACATTCAAAAACAAAATTCCCATCAGTCTAACACAGCTGTATATGTGACACAGAAGGCATAATGAGAAGGTGGAGCCTTATGAATGGACAGGAATGTGGTTTGGAATGTCCTCAGCCTGGCTGGAGTCAAAGTCAGACACAAACAGAGCAGTGGTGACAGAGGGCAACACCTTAAACAGAAACTCATCAGACACAATGAAACAGTGTTCCCTCCTATGACCTGTTATCAGTGTTTAACCAGTCAGAATTATTTATGTATTGATACTGCAACAGTAACAACTTGTGTTCAGCTCGGCCTTGGACTGAACTCAGCAGAACTTGAGTTCTTTCTGTTGTTTCCCTCTAGTCTTTTTCCTGTTCCCTCCTGGCTCTGCATGCTTAGATTCATTCAGCCAGTTTTTACTCAAGTTGAAACATGTTCAGTTTGAAGGACATTAAGTAAGGAATTAATGCAGATAAACTAAATACGAAGATACTGGTAATTGTGGCTTTTGAGGTTGAGTGATTGGACATATTGTATACTTGTCCTTGTGAACATACAGTACACACAATCATCATATTTAACTGCTGCACCACTAGGTGTAAGTGAATTGGTGCTATGTCACCATATACTGTGTAATTAAAACAGAAAACAGTTCTACACTTCTTATCACCATCTTCTTATCTGGTGCCTGAGGCCACTGCAGCTTTCATCCTTGCCTACCTGTTTCTCCAAGCGCTCAGCCTTGGTGGACACACACTCGTGGCCTTTGTGCTGGTTGCTGGTGCACAGCCAGCAGACGAACACCTTACACTGGCGACAGAAGAACTCCTGCAGGTACTTGTGCTGGGTGCAGATCTTCTCAGACAGATTGCCTGTGGGTGCAATGAGCTCGTGCTCCTTCAGGGCCTTCTGTGTCTGATGGAGCTTCAGGTGGGATTCACAGTATGAGCTCATACACACCAGACAGCTCTTGACTGCTGCTCGCTGTTCTCCTTTACACATGTCACATGGCACATCTGCTGAGGAGAACTTCCCTTTGGATCTAGATGAGGAGGACACGACCCCTCGGGTGCTACGGATAGAATCGCGTACATCAGATTTGAGGGCCCCTTTTCGAAGTTGCTCCACAGCTTCAGCCAGCATGGTGTTCCTGGACAGGGGGGGCTTGGGGCAGAAGGTCTGGCGGCACTGTGGGCAGCTGAAGATACCCTTGGCCTCGTCCTTGGTCCAGTAGTCCTTGATGCAGGCCATACAATAGCTGTGTCCGCAGGGGATGGTGACTGGATCATTGGGGAGATCCAGACACACAGGGCAGTTAAACTGCTCCTCTGTCCACAGTTTACCACTCATGGTGGCACTGTCAGACAAAATGAAAACAAAACAGAGCGAATAGAGAACAGGGAGATGGTCAAGACGAATTAAACTCACGTTTCAAGAAATGTAAAGCAGGACAGCAGGAGAGAATGATTCAGAAATGTAAAGAGGTAGGACTAGCCTGAAAAGGCTGTCTCTCAGGTGAGAGCAGGTGATCTGGGCGGAGCCAGAGCCACCAGGCAGGTTTAGCGGGGAAAACGGGTGTTGGTGGAAAACGGCAAAATGCCAGAAGAATTAAGGCGAGAATGGACTGATCACTTTATCACTTTACCAAACCACTGCCCAGAAGTACTGAGATCCTCATACAGTAAACATACCAATACCACAATGTAAAAAGTACTTTATAGCAATTAAACTTCGATTTAGATAAAAGTGCATACGTTAAGTGTTATTAGCAAAATGTCCTTACTATAACTGCTATAGTGTCTGTAGGTTTCAGTGACGCCTTAAAGGTCTGAGCCAAATATAAATTATAGTGGTGTTTAGTGAAGCCCACAGTCAGCATTTCATGTAGGCTAGTTACAGTATTAACTCTGCCTCTGTTCTCCAGTCACAGGTTACAGCATCCACAAGTGCAACCTGGGAGCCACAAGCCCATTTCCATTGCCTCTGTGAGAAACAGTCTCTGAATAGAAATCCGTTCATTCATCATCTGAATATAAAACATTATGTCTTGCTACAGTGGATCAGTCAGTCTGTCCTGGTGTTACAGGTGATGGTGACAGTATCAACCCCCATCATCATCATCATCAGGAAAGACAGCGAACGCTGATACAAGTCCAACCTGTGCTTATTTCAATAACAAAGTAAGCTATGAATTACACAATATAATGTCTATTGTGTTTGTGCCCCGGTACAGGGCAGTACTGTATGTCATCACAGAAAGGAAATAAATATCATGCACTTCGTTGACTGTGATCAGCGTAAAAACAAATCAGGAGTCCCAGCTCAGAACTAATACAACAAACAGTGGTCTGTGACTGAGGAAAAGGTGTATCATTATCTGATGGATGTCTTCTTTAAAGCAGGTGAAGCCAAAACCAAGGAGCTTGTTTTCACAACGTGACAATGCTGGACTCTGTGGGACTGAGCTTTGTGGTGCTGCTCTCAGCAACGGGAGCAGTGACAGTAGACAGATGAGTTTTACTGCACTTCAAACTAACAAGAACAAATCTAGAGAGTTAGTATTGAGTGGCTGATTAATTGATTGCATGATTGACAAAAGATTAACTGGCAGCTATTTAAATAATCAGTTAATTATTTATGTCAAAATTGCCAAACATTCTCCAGTTCTTGCTTTGGAGAGTAATAGTAATCAATTAATTGAGAAAATATTTGACAGATCTATCTGTATACTGGTCAATATTTTAAATGCACTTATTTACAATTTAGCCAAGAGTTAGAGGGGAACATTTAGATCACACTCACTTTCACTCATTGATTCAGTTATTCTTACAGGTAGGACACGGGGTGTATTAAAAGGGGGAAGGGGGCCCGATATGGCTGCATATGTACAGTGTCATACTTTTGTCCTACATCCCTGGGTAGGCTCACCGCTTCTCGTGTATTTACTGTGTATGTATTTGTGTGCAACAGAGTGGAGTACGACTACTACAAATACCATCCAATGTCAGAGGTGAGTAAGCCTAATCACGGTTCACACATGTTAACTGAACAGATCACTACACACACACACACACACACACACAAACACAAACACTGATGTGGAACGATGCTCTGCAGATCACCAACTGGATGGTTCAGATTGCTGAGAATCACTCTGATGTTGTGACCATTGTAAACTATGGACAGACTTATGAGAAGAGGACGATTAGCTTACTCAAGGTAATCCAATTTTTTCATTGTTTATTTCAGATCATAAATTAGGAACTAAGATACCAGAGCGTGCTGATAGTTTTGGTTTGGTGTATGTTTGAATTTGTCCTCCAGATTGGCCTGAATACTGACTGGAAAAAGAAAGCTGTGTGGATGGACTGTGGTATACATGCACGGGAATGGATTTCTCCAGCCTTCTGTCAGTACTTTGTCAGGCAGGTAAGAGACAGGTCATTAAAAATGATGGGGACAGTTCAGTGGGTAGAGCAGTCATCTCCCAACCAGAGGGTTGGAGGTTTGAATCTCGGTGCCTGCAGTCCACATGTCGACGTGTCCTTGGGCAAGACACTGAACCCCCAAGTTACCCCCGATGGTTAGAGCCATCGGTGTGAGTTGGTGCTAAAAAATGGCTGCCTTGGTTCTGTGCCACAAACAAACTCCTTGTGTGTGTAACATACTTGGCCAAATAAAAGTGATTTTTATTTAACCACCAGTTCATATATACTGTATGTCCTCCAACGTTGAAGCAGAGATCTTGACATTTAGTGCAAACATGTTGGATCATACATATCAACCTGACCCACATGTTTTTGCTTGTTCCATCAAATCAGATCCTGCAAACATACAAAACAGACCCAAAAATTGAAGAGATGAAGAACATGGACTTCTATGTTACTCCTGTGCTCAACGTGGATGGCTACATCTACTCCTGGAAGGACAACACAGTCAGTCAGCATATTATCTAATTACTTTTTAAGATTCAGTGCTTTAGCTCCAAGCTCTCGAGCCACAGATGAACAGGATATGAGAAAATCATAGTCTATTTAAACAAACTGAGCTACAATTCAATCAGTGAATAAATGTATTTCTGATGCCCAGTATGCCCCAAACTCTAAATCATTTCATTTTCAAAACAAGCTGAATGGGGAAACTAACATCAAACACTAATCCAAGGCAGCATTTAAACCTGTGGAGAAATGTCAAGGGCCCGTTTTATTTATTTACTAAATGGTAGAATGATTAGAACCAGCTGATTTAACCGACTGACCGTTCTGACCCGTTCAGACTCGACTGAGGAGGAAGAACAGATCACCAGGACCTTCAGACTGTGACTGTTATGGCACCGATCTCAACCACAACTTTGACGCCTACTGGAGCAGTAAGTCTTGTGACAGTTCATTACAGTCATATATAGTATTAAAACACTATACTGTTTATATAGTCCTTTCTTTTGATAGCAACAGATTAGTATGTACCTGACTCTTTTTACGAGATCTTCCCAAAGCTCCTACATTATTTCATTTAAAGGAGGAGTCCAGTGATTTAGTAGAGCACTCAAAATTGAAGCAGAGATCTTGACATTTAGTGCAAACATGTTGGATCATACAATTCCCACAATGCAACCTGGTACCATCTTTCATTAACCCCTTCCTGTCTGGTACTACATAGCAACTGAATGCTCCCTTAACATGTAAAAAGGTGAACTTGCGTGCCCATGTTATAGAAGAAGTCATGTTATTACTATATTACATTCTGTTTTTTTTTTTTATCTTTGGCTGCTTTCACAGCAATTGGAGCATCATTTAACTGCTGCTCAAGGACCTTCTGTGGGAGCAGCGCTTTGTCTGAGCCTGAGGCCCAGGCTGTAACCTACTTTGTAGGAACCCGCAAAGACCACTTCCTGTGTTTCTTCACCATCCACTCCTACAGCCAGCTCCTCCTGATTCCCTATGGAAACCCCAATTTCACCGCCCCCAACTACGATGAGCTGGTATTTACATCACCAAACACAGTAATATCACATCTCAGGATAAACGGTGCTCATGCATCTGTAGAGCCTGATTAGGTTTGTCACTGCATGCTTCTAGATCAGTAAAAAGGATGTGCCACATACTGCCATAGAAACTGAGCGTATGTCGTTGATAAAAACCAACAGTAAATGAAACAGTCTGTGAATAACATTCCAGTAAACACCTTAATAATAATTTGTTTCACGGTTTTGGATTTAATATTGTTTGCTGGATTTACAGCACAGTAGAGTGGTGCATGGCAAAGTGCAGTAGGACTTAACACAGTGTATACAAATCATACACATAACAGATTATATCATTTACATAGTCAGCATCCGTGAGCAGTCGGTCCTCGGCTGCCAGGGCAGAACAGAACGGGGGAGGCTGTGAAACACTGATAGTGGAAAATGAAGGGCTGGCTGTTGTTAGGAGGGAGGCTGATGCAGGCAACAGCCCACTGGAAACATCAACCAGAGAGAATTATGCATTCAAACTACACCGTGGTTCTTCAGCTTGGCAGGATGCAGAGTCTTGTTTATGACAAAGTTTTCAATTATGGATCTCAAATAAATAAAACTGACATGAATGATGAACACCGAGACTAAAATAGATACAAGAAGATCCTGTCAGGACTTCTTATTTAGACTGGCAAAGTTCTCACTCAATTTGAGTAGACAGACTGACCAATACTGGATTTTTAAGGTGGATGCTGATATCAATTTGATGCAATAAAGATGTATCACTTTTAAAACATAAACAATGTAGATGCAAATCTCTTCCATACTGAATAGCACATTTAACCGTTGAAAAATAAAATTGTTCTCTGGTGGACAAACTAAATGACCTCTTTCGCAGTTCTGTACTGCAGTTTCTACTGCAGTGAATTATTGGGCTCTAGACACCAAAAGAAATATACTGTATTAGCAAGATAATAGCAGCCAGTGGCTAATATCAGCCAATAAATTGTGTATGTGCACCTCCAAATTAATGTGCAATTAGAAGGGTATCTGGCAACTGAGAGTCTAACCATCAATGTTTACACTGTAGTAACTTAGCAGGGTCTAAATGCTCCTTCTGATTGATTTCAAGTTTCAAATCAAAATATACATTAAACAGTTCACTGTTCATTTAACAGTTTTTGAAGTTCAGTTTTGAAATTCCTTTAACCAAGTCTGCAACGTTTAATATCAAAACTGTCATTTTCTGAACAAGATGTAGCTTCATTCATGTCGAGCCGCAGAGGTTCCAACCGTGTTATCATGACGATAGCTGAAAAATCAGCAAAACTCCAAAGTACTGTTGGCCTTTTGTTTCAGACAGGATGAGTCTTTGGCTGCTCTGGATATTTGC